GGCCTCTGCATCAACTAGTAATGAGGACATGACTTACATTTGGGACTTTGCTGGCCAGCAGCTCTACTATATTACACATCGAGTAAGTACTCAATTTAGTTGTGTAATCTACTAGTAGGATCTGTGGCAGGATTCCCAATGTAAGCAGTAATCCTTCCCAATGCCGGAAATGCTTTCTTGCAATTTTAACGTCATTCATTTGGATGAGATGATTTCTGAAGAACGATTACAGAACTTATAAGAAAAGTTAGATCATCAATTAAGAATAAATTTCCGCATTTTCTTTTAGATATTCCTAACAAGTGAAGCGGTGTATTTGATTTTGTTCAATTTGATGGAAGGTATGCACGACAAGGGGAAGTGTAGAGTCTCTAGAATGGTAAATTTTTGTTTCTTTATAATGGTGGTTCTGTGGATGTGAGTGCTGTATTTAACATAAACATTCATGTCAAAATCTTGTAATTTTTTTTCTTCAGGAAAAACAAGATGTGATGACATATGATATGACAAATGTACAGATTATCAAATACTGGATGAGGTTGATATATACTTATGCTGTCCCTGTTGAGTCACAAGCACAGGCTACACTGCAAGCCAAGAAACCTCAAATTGTGGTGGTTGGTACTCACGGCGAGAGCCTACAGGGTACCGCTGAAGAAAAGAAGAAGAAGGTAAAATATAATCGGAACTTGTGACATAATTAATTGAGTATTAACATTTTGAATTTTGTGTAATGCTCATATATTGTTATTCAGATTGAAGAACAGTTTGGTATAATATTTGAAGAAATCAAATGCACTCCATATGAATGTCACGTGGTGAGGAAAATGTACGCTATCGACAACAAGTTTCCAACGCAAAGCGAGATGCTGACAACACTTAAACAAGATGTTGGTGGATTTCTGAAAGCAATGCCCAAAACCATCCCGCTCAAATGGCTTGAATTCCAGCATATTTTGCAGGAGAATGGTAGGACAGCTGTGCGAATGAGTTATTCTAAGGTATGTAATCATTGCCTAAAATGTTAATAAATATTAGAAAGAATTGTTTAATACTTAACCCTATCTCATTCCATGTCCCTTTCTTAAAGACACTCCATTTAGTATTCATCCAAGAAAAATGCATCCGAAATTCCCCATGCTCTTACTTTTTTTAATGGTTGGCAATAGTGTTCTATTTACACTTCCACATTTTATTTGTATTAATATTACACTTTTCGAATTTAAATGTTAAGGTCTGTGAAGTCGCGACTAGCTGTGGAATTTCCGTGAAGAATCTGATCCACACCCTCAACTACCTACATGATCTTGGAATCATTTTGTACTTTGAGAACAACAAACTACTGAAGGACACAGTGATAACAAACCCACGGAAGCTGATTGACATCTTCAGGAAAATCATCACAGTGGTGGAACCTGATGACATTGATAAGGTGAGTTAAGTAGAAATTCCCTGCCAGACGTCATTCCCTGCCAGACATCACAGAGTGATAACAGGTTTAAAATTATCATTATTTTCAGTTGGCTTCAATGATCAAGCTGTGGAATAAACTTGATAATGAAGGTATACTGGAGGAAGAGTTAGTCAGACATCTTTGGAGAGATGAGATTAGCGAAGATGAATCTAGCTTTGAGGTCTACTTGGAGTTGATGAAGCAGTTTGGACTGCTCTGCGAGCAGATCAAGGTATTGCTTTTTTACCCATTTTTTTGCAAGTACTTTGAGAGTTTACAGAATTACTGGCCATCCAGGTAGTTAATATTCAATTGACCTGCACAGAGCAATTAATCCTAATAAGACTTTATTTACAAAAAAATAAATATTAGTGTAAGTGCATAGTGATGACTAGATTTCAAATTTTAATTGTAAAAAGAAATGCAGGAAATTATTTTTTTTTTTTTAAACCATTTTAAATTATTTTATATTTTATTTGTTATCTCCGGATCTATCTACTTATCCTAGGGAAGCCATTCAAAGACCAAATTAAAGCTTATAATGTGATCTAAAAAAATATAATATAAACTCATTTTTTGATTTTCTAACAATGATACTCATTTTGTAGTGAGACCTCACATTTGATCTAAAAAGCTGGTAAAATGTCTTCATACTTATTTTTTTACCTTTAAATGGAATTCATTTCTTTGTTTCCTCAAGCATCAGGCAAGCAAATATCGCTCGTTTTTCGTACCCTGTCGATTGAAACGTAGCAAGGACAATGTGTCTGTTGAACCGGACACAGCTCAGATGGTATCTATCTACATGGCCTCCGAGGATTTCATCCCCGATAGTGTCTTCCATCCTCTAGTGGTGAGCTTGATTGGAATGGTACAAGACATGGGCTACACAGCCATGCTGGAATTATTTAGCAACTATGCAGACATCAGCCTAGGACTTGAACACACTCTCAGCTTAGGACCAGTAGTCATTAATAACAAGCCCTCATTGAAGGTAAGACGTTCAGTGATGTCATTTAGTTACTAATTATTTGAGTGATTGGTAATGAAATTAAGTAGTGTTTTTCTATGAGTTATTTTGATGTTGCACATTTATGATGTTGCACCCCTTATTCACCTAAGGTGAATAAGGGATGATGCTCCTCACAGTAATCCCAACAAAAGGAGTGTTAAGGAGGGTATTTTACAAGAGCAAATCCTGGTGGACATTGCTAAGGCGCCCACACCCCCCCCCCACAAAAAAAAAATTGAATACAATTGTAACAACAAAACGATAAAGAAAGTGGAGCATGGTACTCCAAAACAGCAGTTTTTTAAAAGTTTTTAAACAAAAATCAAAACCCCCTTCCCTGCTTCTTACTTTGCATTTTGCATTAACCCTACCTAGATTCGGGGCATGCACTATTGAATTATTGGTTGATTTTATGTTTGTATTTTAGCTGGAAATATCACGGATGCGTATCACTCACGAGGACGGTAGCAAGACATCAACAGGTGAACCCAGTCCTAGAATCTGTATGCAGGTAATCTAGTTTGATATTTGAAATCTTGCAATTGAAATAGCAGCTGTAAAATTACACAAATCTGTGGTGATGTTCTTTATTAATGATATTACTTGGAGAATCGTAGGCATTAGTAGAGTTTTCCAGGCAATGGTAATAGATGTGTATTTATATAGTGCATATTTGATACAGTTTCTATGCATTGAAAGTGTTCCCCCTCCCCAATTTTGCCTCTAGATTTTAAAATGTTAGTACATACAATGTTAAGTATTGAAATAAGACACACTAGAAAACAAAATCTTTCCACTCCCACTTTCCCCTGTTCAAAAAATTCTGGATCTACTCCTTTTTATTGCCTGTTAAATTGTTTTATTTTATCATTGAGCATATCAAGTCAATTAAATCATAAAATCTAACAAAACAAATTGTGAAACCAGTGTTTTTTATGATTCTTTCCTTTCAATACATATATTTTTTCTTAATATATTTTGTAATATTTTCAATGTAATTTTCAAATTATTTTAAAAATCCTCATTCAAGGTGTTAGAGTTTCTGAAGAAAGAGATGGAAGTGCTGACATCTGGAATGAAGCACACACGTTATAAGTTCCGTGTGCTGTGCTGGACAGGTTTGCGAGAAATGCACTTCCACGATTTGGAAGAGTGCCTGGAAAACGCCTATATCCGATGCTCTAAGAAATTAGTAACCACTGCAAAACTACAGAGGATGTTCAAGAATAAGCAACTAGTGACAGGTAAATAACATAAACTAAGGAAAACTAGCAATACCAGATAACATTTTACTGTACCTCATGAAAATGTTAATTAGGTATAAATACAGGTAACATTTCATTGGCCAATTCCACTTGGTATTAATCTCAGCATTTAATTATTCTATATCAAATCTGTATATATATATGTTATTCAATTTTAACTTGTCTATTTTGTTTGATTTCCTTTTAAAGGAACTGCTATACTAGTATTATGTTTTTTTTTATTATACAATAGATTTTTTTAAAATTTTCAAATTGCTCCTTGGAAATCAATGTTTAATATTGAAAGCTTTATCCAGTAATAAAGGGATAAAAGTGGTCAGAGGGCCAAACTAAATTTTTGATTGACAACATTCATGCACTGCTTTTACACCCCTTTATGCTCAGTTTTGATTTTATTTGATTTATTTCATATCATAAGCAATTGTAAAGCAAACAAAGTGGTACAGAGTCAAAAGTTATCCAAGAAATTTTTTTTTTCTAGGTGGCAACAAAATTGTTGTTGGGCTGCATGTGGCCTATGCCCACTTCTGATTTAGTATAAATTCACCATTAAAACTTTATGTGAGATGATTTTGTCCTGGTCAATGTAATGTGATAGACAGCAGTCAATTTTAGTCATTTTATTCTGTATTAAATTGTTTTTAATTCATTTGTAGATTCTTCAATGCCACCAGCAGTTTCCAGCGATGCTGAAACAGCGCCACCAGGTTAGTGTTTCAGAGTTTATTACTATTTTGTGTCTCATAAATTATTTTTTTTAAGACAGCTATATGACTATTAGGTATTATTATAATTATTTATTAATATATTATTTTATTTTTGTTACGGTAATGTTATTATTCCAATTATTTTATTGTGCTAGACTTACTTTTATTTTCACTTCAGATAAACGTCTTGGTTATCTTGAAGAGAAGCACCTGCTTCGTATCGCCCAGGGCATGGGAATGGAGTGGAAACAACTGGGCGTCAGATTGGGTCTCAGTTGGAAGAGGATCCAACAAATATGGAGTGATAAGAGACAATTGCCAGAGAGCATAATGGATATGCTGACAGAATGGAGGAAACAACAGAACTATGAGACAAATCAAGTTGAGATGATGTGCAAAGCTTTGAAGGAACAAGGACTCACAGAGCTTGCTAACAAAATCTTTGGCTCTCAAATGTCAGAGGTTAAAGAAGCCAATGACAATGCAGGTGAAAATACGAGAGAATACGATGGTTAGTAATGCATTATTCATGATAAAATATTCATTTAATATAATCTTAAAAACATCATTTTGATATTATTCTTTGTTGTGTAGTCTGTTCAGTTTCACAAAAATGCATATTGTTAAATCATTTCAGAGTGTGGAAATGACAAAAAACAACCATTTTAATGGCTTAATGTATTATTAGCTTTTAATTGAAAATTAAATTGAAAAAAAAACATTTTCTGGCCAGGTAATTATAATAATAATGGTAATACCCAAATATTTATAAGGCACCAATTTCAAATTGAATGATCAAAGGCACAAGCATTTTTATACAAAATGGCAAACCAGCACAAAGGGCAACTTTCTCTGCTCCCTGCGAAATATCCCTAGTCATTTGCTGCCTCACTTTAGCGCACAAAACTAGTACATTCAATGCCCCAACATCCTACCAGTTTGTACTGTAGATACAAAGTTTCAGAAACAGATTGTGAAAGCCGCATTAGAAATGCTTGTCAGACGGAGAAACAGAGAGAAACATAAATCAACTCACAACATTGAAGGCAGCATAGATTGAAAATGATAACAAGATCGCTGCATACTACCAACATACATAAAGAACTTGAAACAACTTTAATCAACAAATTAGTAGTACAGGGGCCTTGGACTAAGCAGAGATTGTGGCATGAACAATATGATATTGTGAAAATAATAGAGAAATATTTACCAAATACCAGATAGATACTATTGTGTAAATTAACTGTATCCGCATGTTTCATTTGCAGTCATGTTTTTTTAACACGACAAACAACAACTTGGTTCTACCAACCAAAACCTGGGCAAGGAGTGACTCATCCAGCACGAACGTTAAGGCTTTAATTAGCAATGCCTCTGTCATGGCCGGACTGTGAAGTCTACAACGTTAGTGTTTTAATATTGCTGTCTTTGCTTTTCCTTTAGGATTCTTGGCAGACATTGATATGCAATTTATTGCTGAGGAGCTTGGCAAGGACTGGAAATCCTTTGGCAGCATCATTGGTCTGAAGGAACCTGAAATAGAAAGAATTGAGATGGACTTTTCACCACCAACTGTGGACGCAAGTCTGGAAATGCTAGTCAAGTGGCAAGAAAGGCAAAAAGCTGGAGTAAACCACCTTGGAAAGATGTGTGATGCATTGGAAGAACTTGGAAAGGCAGCTGTTGCTGAAGCACTCCAGAAATACTACTAGGGAACTTAATTATAATGCAAGAAGAACATTTGTAGATACACATTGGTACCAACAATTTCAAAAGACGGTTACACAGTGGTTAGGCCAGGGGCTAGCTGTTCCCCCGCTCCCTTCAGGAAGAGCAAAACCTCAACCACTGCCATTATGACTAGCGGCGTAACAAAGGGATGGGAGGCTGCTGGGTAGGGGCCTTTTAGGAGCCCACAAGCTAGGGGCGGGGGGAAGTGAAGAGCGTTCTTAGTTAGCGTTCTATGACATATTTTAATGTCTGTTTACACATTGAAATTTTAAGTTTATATATCGTGATTTGACACATAAAGCGTACTTAATTTAAACTAATAATCACTAATAAACATCTCTGTTATGGATTAAATACCACAGACTTTGGCTTGAAAAAGGGCTTTGGTTATTCATTTGTTTAAAAAAATATATTGGAATTTGCTCGGGGCCCTTGAGGCTCCGGGGCCCCTGGCTTTAGCCAGTGAGAGCTCACAGCCGTTACGCCACTGATTATGACACTCAATAAAGTTAATGCCGCAGTGCACGTATCCTAGGGCAATAATGGTATTAAGAAAATACATGAAGTTATTCTTTAACCATAGAATCAAATTTTTGGGACAGCAAATTTGCTTTATAAATTATACAATATATTTTGTTTATAATATAATAATATGATGGAATTATACAAATTAGTAAACACTTTCTCATTTAATATTTGTAAAATTATTGTATATTTTGTAAGCTTGTAAAATTTATATAACCTAATCTTGATACTTAAATGCCGAAATTTATATATTTTATATATATTTTTATATATATTTTTATATATATTTTTATATATATTTTTATTATTTTAGAATGTCGTTTCTTTTTAAGAATTATACCTTGACCGACTGTACATTCAGCGGGATAAAGAAGGTGGACAGTGCTACTTCTCATGGTTCCTGTATATTTAAAATAACACTGCCCAAATCATTCCAGTAGGATGCAGTTTTTTCACACTACATAACAACACTTTTTCAAAAACTACAGCTCAACTGAATACAGTTTACTGTAGTTCCTGTTCAAGTCACAAATTTCACTATAAAATCACAAAAATAACTTATTGTTTATCTTGACTATCCTGGCTACGGCCTGGAATGGTCACATTCTCATGTTCCGTAAATTAAATTAGAATAAAATAGGCATCTCTCAATTGTGCTTCATGATGGTTTTGTAATGGACATTATTCCTCTATTTCTTTTTCTATTTCTTTATTTGCAAATCACATGTAATTATGTTTTATTTTTGCAAAATGCAAGTTTTTAAATAAAATTTAAAATTGATAAATTGATTGATGAATGAATGATTATTATTGTGCTTTGGCGTTTGTTTGTGAACAGTGTTGCTAGCCAGTCTGTAGATACAGTATAAGGGGCCTCGCCTCACTCCAATTCCTCACAATTATGGAGCCCCAATTTAGGCTTTCTTCACGACCCCATCAGATCCCTCATCAGCTTCCCACCCATGTCAATACTCCTAGATACGTCACTTTAGCACGGAGAACTAGTTTAAGTTACAAGAATGATAGCCAGTGATGATGTTGACAATTACGATGATAATGATGGTGATTATGGAGTGGTGGCTTTTATTTAACGATCATTTAAGAATAAAAACTGCATTTAAAAAAAAAACCAGGAAAATTTACATAAAAAATAGAACAATTCAAATAGACAAAAGGGTAAAAAGAAATTAATTCACAAAACAAAGAGAAAAACAAAGGCACGATTTTAATCACTATGGTTACAATAT